GCTTGTCTGTTCCCAACACTGACGACACTTAACCAGTAATATAGCCTCCCTGCTCTTCACAGCTGGTGAGCTTGTTGGTGGGTGTGGTCAGGTCTGCATCACCGAGGAGACACGTGCCATGGCAACACAGTTACCTAATAGGCTCCATTGCCATGGCAACAGAAGCGAGCTTGCTTTCTCAAGGGTAACACATCTTCAAGCTTTCCCCATCCTGCAGTTGTGTGCCTTTCATGCCGTCTTTTTCATTTATTTCATCGAGGGCTTTCTTTGTCTTTCTGTGTTTTCAGCTCGCCTCTGAAATTCAGTGGCATCAAGGATTTGGATTCACAAATAGACACATATGCTTTCAGCGCTTAACAGACCAAGATATCATGCCAGCAGCTTATGTCAATGTGACATTCTGCCAAGTACAGCTTATGCATTACAAACACATGTAGACCCGTCTTTAAGATGCTGCATGTATTTAGAAATGGACAGCATTTGTGTCCATCTTTGATAAGGGGTATTCAGCATTAGTGAACTTAAGGTGTTGAAATGTTTTTTGGGGAGAAAGCCTTATTTTGTTGCCGGGCTTAATTCATGGACTCACTGACTGGAGTACAGCACATCAGTGTTTCCATAGCAACAAAGTGCCTGCACAATATTGTGCACAACAAAAGGATAAAAATCAAGTAACTCAAACCAAAAGCCATTTCCTTGTAAACAAATCCTGCCATTTGTTTTCACATTCGCCACTTCAAAATTTCACACCTAATTAACAATACCACAGTGACACATTCTGCGGGGGCTGCCTTTTTTATTTATTTTTTTTAGCGTGACTTACATCATTCTGCAGGTACAAGTTAAACCATGATCTAATCGAAGGTGCTTGTGCTTCTACAGTCCCACTAAGTTGAAAATGTTCACATAAACAAAAATCTTTCCACAGATTGGATGAGCTGTGCCCACACAGTCTTTGGCCTATCTCCCACCTCTGACCACCGATGATGAATTTCATACACAAGGAGCACTTCCTCAGGTGCAAATGGGTAAAGGCTGAGCAGGCAACAGATATCATAAGCAGCATGCAATGCTCTCCGTTCCTTTCCGCCTGACCTACTTCAGCACCAGAAATAGCAGCACTCAGGTCTCTGCTTCCAATCCTGTTTTGCTATTTCATTGCTCCTGCCACCACGCTCGAGACAGAAGAAGAAAAAGAGGAGAGCATGGCAGAGGAGGTTCTGGAGGTTCAGATGAGCTCTCCCTCTACTGGCTCTGCTTTCTCGCCTCATAACTGAACTTTTTGGAAGTGCAGAGCAGTGCTTTGTGGGAACTTTTACTGCAGTGGTCGTTATAATTTCCTAATTACGATGGCATGTCCATGATCTTTATCCTGAAACTTGGTCACAACGTTAAAAGTGGATGGCTTTGGATGCTTGTAGAAACACCAGCAACGCTCAATGTTTCCCTTCTAATGGAACCCTGTGCTTGTATTTCAGTGTTCATCTGTGGTATTTATATTCACGCTGATGTAAAGTGGGTCAGTGTTCAAAATTTAATGTGAAAGATTTTACTTCCAAAATGTTTTCCGTTGCTAGTTAGTGACAATGAAAAAGTAGGAGACTTTTGGTGAGCATGGAATTAATAAAAGCACATTTAGTTTCTTTGTAATTCTGAAGAGGACAACACTCGTATATGCCTGTCTTGGTTTCGTACTCTTTCAGGGATTGTGTGTGACTGCAGTGTCTATCTTGACTTCTTTTGTGGATAAAGGGAAATTGCTCTCCAAACATCTGACTGGAAAAACATGCCTGTAAATGTGTGTGTGGTTAATTTGGCTCCTTTACAGGCCTGTTCGGGTAATTGCTCCTGCCAATGATACCCATCTATCCACGCTGTAATTACATCCTGATGCAAAGGCCACAGAGCAATGAGCCGACCTCAGAAATCCTCTGCAGCATTACCAGAATTAATTTTTTTACACTGATGTTTAACTGTAATGTATTAGACAGTTCCCTTACTAATTCTTTAATACAGAGATGAGCATGGCTTGAACTAGTTTAGCATCACCTATGTGTATTCTCTATTTCTTTATGTAGTCAGAGTCAGAATAATGTCAGACCCAGAAATGGCGTCTCTTGTTTCAGTCACGAGCTGACTTTTTGCATAATTCTTCATAAAAAATCTCTTTCTTAATGTGCCTTTCTGGTGCAATTATGTATTATTTATATTTTGTAACAAAAAAAAAAAAAAATCAGTAGAAAAGAGAAGAAAGCGTGAGGATATTTTGATAGAGTACACTTACCCACGATGGCGAGGTTATGTTCAGATCCACATGTAATCTGTAGAAATAAAGATGTGAACCATGTTTAAAATACAGCAGACACGTTTAAGACTGTAACACTCAAGAATTGTTATGCAACATGGATGCTGAGAAAGTTTGTAACAAAACCTCCAAAATTGAATAAAATTACATGTGTCACGATAACGTCACCTACATTTTATTTAAAAGTGCAAATATTGATATTGTTATGGAACATTTCATCTATGAATACATCATCAACGCTCACAATGCAAAGCTTGAAAATGCAGCAGAGAAGCCACATCAGTTAAAACCCACTGCTGAGCTTGCGGGAGGAGCTAATGCAACTGTTTCAGGATGGTTGTACTCACTTGCCTTTGCTGATCAAAACCTTTTCCATTAAATGGCTTTTATTTTTTCCCCCCCCTTAGTATCTGTGACAGGAATTCAGGGGACACATTTAAAAGTCAATTAAAACTGGACATACTGGAAACAAAGCTCTCAAGATGCTTCTTTAGATTGCTACAACTGCCTTGCACATACAAGATATCTTTCATAAAACAGCAGGAATTGCTTTGATGAAGCAATTCCTGCTGTGGCAAGCGGTGAATAGAAACAGATTTCTGAACCACTGACGAGCTGTAATTTGTTCCTCCAGTAACGTTCACATGTCATAAAAAATGTGACAGTTTAGTATATATTTGCTCCGTGGGTGTAAATATTCACTGTTTGACGGACTAACACGGTAGGAGGGGGCTGAGAAGATTAATGGTCCACTCAGCTAATTCATCTTGCTTTTTGCTTCACACACACACATACAAGGTGACCACACTGTGACATACTCCAGTGCTGCTGCAGTGATCTGTGCGCAGTGGAACAATGATCCAGGACTTGCCCTTGCCCGTCCCTGACATCCACTTTATTGGCAATGATGTCCAACCATACAGTTGCCATTTAGACTACCGGATAAGTGCTGCCGTTCCACGACGCTCAGCCATAATTGTCCTTATGGGAAAGCAGACCTCTGCCTTCACCAAATATAAGTGGTCCTCTTCCTACTGGACAACAATGGCAGTGTGTTTTCCACCAGATATGAGGATGCAAATCATTAAGAACCAATCTACAGGGGCAATGTGTTTCACCCTTTTCATCTGTGGTTGTCTGCTGCCTCCTGCTGGACTGCCACTGACATTTTCAAACTCATTTCAAGGCTGACATCCACAATAATAAGAACACATAGAGTAAATCTTAAATACTAGCAGCAGTAAATCCAAGCAACGCCTAACTGCTATTGACTGCAACATTCCCTAGGTTATTTCACCTGTAGAAGTGCCAAATACCTGTGTTGCTCCATGGAGGGCTGTAACCTCTGCAGGGAGGCAGACCTCCTGGCTGCCACCTTCTGTTACAGGGCCAGCTGACTGCTGCTCCGGGTCCCGGCTGGCGGATGCTCGTCGGCCAAGCTGCCCATAATCTCCTCTGCCCCATGTGAACACTCTGCCACTCTCTGAAATAGGTAATGACCTCATTTAGAAAAGGCAACTGTCGAAAACCCTGTTAAACTGGTAAGCATCACAGACATATTAGGTGCTATTGTATTTTGTTACCTGTTTGAGCAACAGTGTGTGTCCAGCCGCTCCATACGTTTAAAATTTTCTCTCCGTTCAACAGAGATCGCCTCAGAAGAGTAGGAGAAGACAGGAAGCGCTCTGTTGTGGTGAGCTGGCCATGCTTGTTGCTTCCCCAAAGAAACAAATCACCATCTCCTGCACACATGACAGGAGCAACATTACTCTTCATCCAGCAGAGGCAGCAGTAGCAGAAAGGCAGAACAGTAATTGAGAAGCACTGGTCAACTAATTACAGGACAGAAGGATGGTCAGGCTTGATGTATGAACATGAAGGACATGACAACTCCCTACTACAGCCTTCGAGCGTAAATGTTGCCTATGGAAGAGCAGTGCAAATACATATCCTGTTTTCATTACAACTTCTGCCACGTTTGTTTCCTGCTCTTTCCCACGTGCAATCCAGTGACTTCTTATACGTATAAGTCATCAACAAAAATTAAGTTTTACGCAAGCAGGAAGCTTCAATTGTTGTCTATTTTTGTCAGCACCCTGGATAGTTTGTCACACCTGTAAGGCACACACAGTGTGCTGAACCTGCCGCTACCAGGTGTGCTGTCCTCTGATCCAGACCTGCAACATGGACACAAACATCTGTCACCAGTGGCACAATAAATAACCTACAGCCTAAAAGACTTTGTTTTCTGTATTCATTTCTGCTCAGTACAGTTGATCTTACCTGGTACTAAAGATGGCACCTTAGAGCTGAGGTGTGGTGGGACAGGGTGTGGACTGAGTGCTCTTTTAGCGTGACTGAAAAGACCGGTTCCCCACTGATATACACAGCCTGAGTCTAAATGCCAGACAGAAAATTAGGATTTATGACTTAACAGCCAAACAAAGAAAAAAACATAATGACAACAGTTTATGGTGCTGCCGTACCAGCAACAGCAAGTGCGTGTCTAAGTCCTGCTGCTACACTCACTATTGGCTTCTTCAGATTCTGAAAACAAACAACACAATGACATGTGAATTATCAAAGCTGACCAAACTTCCCAGTAGGTGAAATGTGGTTTGTAGATGATAAGGTGTATTTAACAAAAATTTACAAAAATATCAAGATTGTGACTAACTTGCTGGTAATCTGCACCCTCATCATGTGCTCACCTCAATAACTAGTAGATCTGCAGAGTGTGTGACATTCTGTGCAACACCCAGTTGTCCAAACGCATTGGAGCCACATGCCAGAAGTTGACCACAATCTGTCAGTGAGACATGAAAGGAAAAGAAATATCTCTGTAAGTAACACACACAAATTTTAGAAGAGTGGGAGGTAGTTAATGTTGTCTCTGTCATTTACATTTTTAACATTTCTGTGTTACGATTTACTCAAGTTCCACAAGCAAAGCCTGCAGACTGACTGCAGATGTAGAAAAACAGGACATAAACAATTCACCCTCCAGCTTTTTCTGGTTTTCAGACAGCTGCACTCAGTTGGAATGTGAGTGTGGTTGGAAAGATTCCCCTTTTTTTTATCACATTCACATGTCAATGTCGCCAGACAATGCAATGCAGTCACATGATTGCAGAGTTGGTTGTGTTCAAACACATACTGTTTGGCAATTTGATTTCATATATTGACTAAATGTACGTTTTATCATGTTGTATGGCATTACTGGAATCCTTTTTTTTTTTTTTTTTGAAAAGCCTTAAGCACTGATATAAACCAGTCACATGGATGGTATTTATAGGTCATGAAGTAGCAATGACAGTTACCCCTGTCTGTAAGGACTGTTTCTGTTTTCTATTTGTTGATGTCTACAGTAATCAGTTACAGTAATTTATTCCCCTGGTCACACTCTGACTGTGTAATACAAATGTCTTTTATATTTCTAGAGATATGAAGAGTTCCTTTGCAAAAACAGATAACTCAACTTTGTAGATTTTCAGAAAACTTATTTTTTGTTGTTTGCTTGAGATAACATTAATCAAACTGAAGTTGAGTGGATTTGATTCAGTAGAAATGACTATTATTAATCATTGATATTGTCTCAGGTAGACGATGGAAAAGTGGGTTTTCTGAAGGTCTGTGAAGATGGAGTTATCTGTTTTTGCAAATGAACTCTTAATATATATACGTTGGTATAATTTGCTTGTTCTTACATAACTTCAAGAATGTCCTGTCTAAATAAAAGCTGCTGTGACATGCAGAGTATTTCTTGAAGGATAAATAAAATACAATCTAATCCGTGGAGAAACATCTCATGAAAATACTTCAGCTGTCACATTATTTAAAGCTAGAGCGCAACCAATATTGGATTGTTCAGGCTGGCACCAATTTTAGGGAGTAAAAAATTCTGATATCGATACATCTGCTGAAATAGTTATATGTATAAGTTAGAGTTATATTAATAAGGGAAAATTATGAGGCTGTGTTTATTAACTTTCCAACAATGTATATCAAAAACTGGTTAGCAATTTAACACGAAGACAAAGCTTAACTGTGCACCAACACCTGCTCAGCTGTGATGTTTACTCTGCTACATGTGCTGCAGACAGTGCTCAGGGTTTTGAATAATTTAAGTCTGAGTGACTCTGCTGGACAAACAATGTGATAACACCATTTTAAAACGATCTCTGGCACTTTTTTTCCCCCTCTATGTTATATTTTGTAAAAACTGATTATATTATGAAAACCAATATATTGGTCCAGTCCTATTTAAAATGTAAATCAAAATGAGTCCTGGTGTGAAATGGTGCTCACCAGTGAGAAGAAGAGTAAAATCCCAACCACAGGCCGTCTGTGTGATTCTGTGATTCAAGACGGGGCAGAGTTGAAGAGTTGACACGTCTGCACTGTTTCCAAGTCCCAGCTGGCCTCTGTGGTTCTGGCCGCACACAAACACCTCCCCACTGTCTACAACACAAAACACAGCAGAACCATTTGAAAGTGACGAGCTGGTTACAAAGGGTGTAACTTACACAGTTACTTGGAGCATTGATAAAAAAAATAGAAACACTTGGACACTGACTTCAAACAGCACATTAACTGAAACAGACAAAGGACTGTGTCATTGTTTTCCAGTGGGTTCAATCAGGATTAAAACAAGCATAGAGAGCAGTGTCTGTCCTCTACTATGTGCTGCTCAGGTTATGTTGAGTTTGATATAAAACACATTGTCACAATTTACTTGTTTGGCCACAAGGAGGCGCCACCGGACCTCCGGAAGAACAGTTTACATTACTGAAGTTTTCAAAACTAACAGGTGGGCTTGTATTAAACAGTTCAGCCTGGGAACAGCCGGTAACGTACCGGTGATAACCACGGAGTGTCCGCCGCCGCCGCACACGGTCCGGACCGCCCTGCTCTGTAGAGCGGCGGTGTCAGCGAGCCGGGGCGCAGGCTGATCCTCCACATGTCCCTGTCCCAGCTGGCCGTAACTGTTGGCCCCCTGACAGAAACGACACGAATCACTGACTGAACCCCCACAGAGGAACAACCATCCCAGCTCAGGTAACCGTCAAACCAAACACTAGCATTTCTTTGTTTTCGCTGCACTTGTTCTGGGAGCTACTCAGTTGTTTAGCTAGTTAAGCTAACGCTAGCAAACGTGCTATATTGACGTTTCTCAAAGCCGCGTCGCCAAGCCGGTGGTGAGTGTTTGGTTTTATTAAAGTACCCGACCAGACAGACATAAATTGGAAACTTTAACGATAAATGAAACAAATTTACCCAAGAGTGTAAACAAAACTCCAGGCGTGAGTGTGTTTCCATGGAGCACCTAGCAAAAGAGTGTGGTTTGCTTTACGACACTGTCGCAAAGCTGCCGTGTGTGCGAGCTGACCTGTCAGTCGTTCAAATAGTTTAGAATATATTTATTATCAGCTCTTGTTGAAACACAGAAACACGTCGTTAATACTCAGGAGCGTTTTTAGGGCCTCTAAACGTTTAAGGCTTAGTCCAGGGCACAGGTCTTTAGATTTTAACCTCCTAATTGCACAATTTTCAAGTTATTTCAGTGTAAAATTAACAAAGTGTGAGTTACTGTGTGCTAAGAAAGTAATGCTTCACATTAATATCATAATGAATGTGGGATAGATAGACCATTGGTTGTCTAATTGCTAAAGTGCTTAAATGATTTACAGATATAATCCTATGTGGAGTTGGAAATACTTGTTTTCATAAATGTTGTGCATTGTGACAAACATGTTTTCGAACCACTGCGCTGGACTAGGGTTTCTGCGTTTAGCTGAGAGTGTAAACCTTTTAGGTTATAATTGCCCATTGCAATTTTTAATAATAATTTTATTTTGTAGTAATTTGGGGGACCCGCTCTTTTGATTGTCCAGGAGAAGAGTTGCAGGTGCTAGTTGGGGGGAAGAAGTCATCCATAAAGTCTAATAACACAATACCCTAAAACTGTAACTACAGAAACAAGAGCAAATCTGAAGCCTCCAGGTGATGGGAAAAAAATATAGTGTTGCACTGTGTAATGTTTTATATCTAGAGATTGAGTCTATACAGCATGTAATACGATTTGAATGCTTTCTTTAAAAGTCGTTTTTTTTTTTTTTTTAGATGTCAGTATAATTAAAAACATCTCCTGTCAAAGCTTCCCTTCACATAAAGTTGTTTTTGTGTTTTGTTTTGTTTTTCCTTGTCATATCTGCTTGACTTTTTTTTACTTCTGGTTTCCTTTTTGTAGTTTATTTAAGCGTATATTGCATTTGTCTACCACTTCCCCCATCAGTGGTAATAAATGCATCACATTTATTATCAGGGTTTTTATTTGTGTGTATATATCAGCTAACATTTATCTTTGGCCCTTAAATTTGTCTTTACTCCATGGTTAGGGGATTTAGCTGTTGTTTAAGCAAAAACAAAACCAACAAAAACAAGAAACAAGAAAAAAAAACATTATTTACGACAAATCATAAAACATTCAGGGCTACAGCCTTGGATGCCTACGCCTAATGACACTACTGCAGTCACTCATACGTTTTAATAACACAGCAAACTACAGCTTTACATTAAATGTAAACTGTCAGTTGGCTGTAGAATTAATTAAAGTCAGATATTTTAACATAATGATAGTTAACTAATTTAATGTTTACACCCTGTACCCATGACTGCACCCAAGGATTTTCTGACCTGCCAGCCATGCATTCAAATGAAACTGAGGGATTTGCACAAAAACCAGTTGCTAATTCTGTGTCCATACATTTTCTTCAAGAGTCACTCAGCGACGCCATTAATTCAGTCATGATTTTCTGGTTTCCATCTTGGGGAATCATTTGTTCCTGTCCTTCTGTTTCAAGAACAGCACTTGACTGAGATGACAAAAGCATCAACCTGTATAACTAACTACTCACAATGTTCCCTGTCATCATTCTGCCTTTCTGTTACCATCAGCAGGACCATTATTCAGGATTCAGTATCCATACCCAAATCACTGCTGTGAGGACAACAAAAAGGAGTAAGAACAACAAAAAAAAAAAACATTTGACATGCTGTGAAGACACAATGGACATTTTTATTTTATTTTTTCAGTTTGATACATAGCCTACTTCTAATGTCTATATTTCTTTACAGTAGAAAAATAATGTTTTGATTTCTGGAGTACTACAATTATATTCACTTCAAGAGGAGGTATTCAAAATCATCACTGTAAAATAAATTGCGTACGTGGGCCAAATCTGTCATAATCCATCATGAAAGCGTTCTTGTGACACTCGTTTGTCACAGTTTTCGCTTTCATAACTTCCTTCAACAGCACACAAAAAGGAACATGATACAGACACCAAAAGAATACAAACAAGGAACATATTATACATATCACTCAAGTGTGGAAGATTAAATGTGAAGAAGAATGAAATGACTTACAAAAAAAATTCACATGATCATATACAACAGCAGAGTTAACAATAAGGGAAGGACATCACACACATTTGTAACAGCTGGGGGGTGTTTTAAAAGAGTACTGAAGTACCAGGAAAGCACATTAATTTGTTTGCGATACATCATGCAGTTGAGAAGTACAATGGAAGCAAAATAGTGCCTCGGATTAAGCAGCTCTTTGGGTTTGTGAAATTTACGGAAACTTGTGGCTAAACATACCTGTAAATATAAGCCATATGCAATGAAGACAACAGAGCATTTTGCCAAAAAGCAGTGCACATTCATTGTACTGACAAAGGGCAACACACAAGCGATATCCCTACAGCAGAGCCGGGGATGACACGGCAAGCGCTGATGGACTGTCGGTGAATAACTTCAGATCAGACGCCCAGCTGCTTGTTCAGCCGGCTGAGGGCGTCACCGACGATGTCGAGCTCGTGCCGAAGCTCCTCCACCACGCTGTTGATGCTCGGAGTGTCTTTTAGCACATCCACACTCTGGGTGTAGGGGTTGTATCGAACTGTGAAGGGACGCTTGATGGTCTTGGCAAACTCCCTGAAATAAACACAACATCATCATTAAATAGTGTGTAGTAGATATTTGATTTTATATAAAACATTTAAGTTTATTGATCATTTGAACTCATGCTAGGTATATCTTTACATTATGTCTTAAATGACAAACACACCTCATCTTGACTTTGGCCTCCTCAAAGCTGTCTGACACAAAGTAGACATCCTGAAATGTTGTGATGATGCATTCTTGCTTGGATGTAACCTTTGGGTCAAAAGGCATTATCCTTGCATTACCAGAGAGTGCATGCTGCAAGAGAGAAACAGGACAGGTGGTGAAAACATTGTACTCACACGTTTTGATTATTTAATTAAATAGAAATTCATATTTTAATGTTCTAAAAGAGGAATCATGTAATTTTTTTTCCCCTAAAAGTGTCACCACCAATGACTAAATTGAAACTGAGAAAAGACAGTTTTGTCTGCGTATTTAAAACATTTTGAAGTTTCTTTCTTTTTTTTTTTTTTCCAGTGTAGTGTTTTTGGTAATATATTTCCAAGTGCATCATTCGAAGGTGTCAGAAGTCAGACTGTGGGATAAGTTTTTGTTAAAATGTCTTTACCTTCAGCTCACTGATAGATGACAGCAGTCCGGCTCCGTAAGCTCGCAGGTGCCCTTCTTGTTTGCATAGGCCAAACTCCACCGTGAAGAAATAGCACTGCAACACAGGAGCAGGTCAAACACAAACTTTTATTTATTTGCTTCTCAGATGTTGTGTTGTTTATTTTAAAATCAGATATTTTGGTTAATTTTTGATTCGATTTGCTTGTAACAGCGACACTCACTGTGGCCAGTTTCTGAACCGAGTCATCCGAGGCTCCGAGCGAAGCAAGACCGATCTCCTGAGAAAACTGGGCGAAGCTGGGCTCTGCTAGCAGCGGGACGTGGCCCAGCAGCTCATGGCATGTGTCCCTTCATCATGAAAGATAGACAGAATATTAGGACCAATAGCTGTGTGTGAACATTAACGCAATATATTCTAATGTAGTAGTGTTTTGATGTTACTCACGGCTCTGGGGTGTATAAGGGGTCGGAGCTGTGCCGCACATACTGGGTACAGTGGAAAACACGGAAGGCTAAACCAGCAAGGAAATCACGCGGCGACAAGTAACCTGCCACAGGCCTGATGGTAAATCCAGTACGCTCTGAAAAGATGTTTGAAACACATGTAAGTGACTGATTCTGTAAAAGTGAAGAAAAGGGCTTTAAGATGTTTTACTTAGGAGATGAAAACCCACCTCTCAAGAAGCGCGAGACGTCTTCCAGCTGAGGGATGTTGTCCTCCCGACATTCACAGTATTTGGACAGCAGCGGCAGGTTCTTCAAGTATTCCCGGCAGGCGTGGGTGGGGTACAGCTTGTTGAGCTCCCTGTACACAACACCCCAAGTCTTCACCTCCTCCTCTGTGAACTCAATACGAGGAACAGGATCCCCACTGCAACGAAGCAGAAACATTCATTAACTATCAAGTTAAACATTTACCAGATTTTCAAAATAACTATTTAAGTTTGCAGAAACTTACTGTTTGTAGGCCATGGCGAGATCAGCAAAGTACTTTCGCCTTTTCCGGTAGACATTGTCCTTGAAGCCCTGATGAAGACAAACAGACATATTAGGATGCTTCGCATTAAAACAATTTGCAATTTTTTAAATTCTACCAATAGGCTGGCACTGTACCGGATGGTCAGCATCCAACTCAGAGCCGTACATCAGAACACGGTTAGCACACTTGTCCAAGTCGGATATTTTCTTTGGGAACCAGGGTACGTTGTACATTTCTGAGAAGAGAAGAAAACGGTTACTTTCACGTATTTTGGTTTAATATGATATTTGTGTCTGAGGCTTTTCGTGCGCCGCTTCCTCACCTTCCTCTTGTAGACACGAGTTATCTGGAGGCTCCATGTCGACCACGTTCACATGCTTCCGAAGCAGCTGGATGATTTCATTCAGTTGCTCGTGGTTGCTGTCGCAGTCCACGAAGATTTCAAACTCAGAGTTGCGTCTTTTGGATTTTCTGGATTCTATGTGTACAAGGTTGACATGGTTTTCCTGCAAGAAACAATGACAAGAATCCATACAGTTATCTGCATTTACTTTATCTGCGTGATAACTGAATATGTTTAGGAAATGTACTGGTTGACACAAATAGATGAGATATTTATAACATGCATAATCAGAGATAAGTTTAATTTCTCTGAACATACTTGGAAGAGTTTGAGTGCCTTCACAAGTCCTCCCACTTCATTCTTGAGGGAAAAGATGATTGTTGCTCTCCCTTTCTCTGATGTATTCTTCTTTTCAGTGTTTTCTTCAATTTTTGTGAA